AGCAGGCCAGAACTGGGGCATTGAGACTGTGGCCTGCTGCTAACGATGGAAGCGCTCTTCTTAATAGCTTTCATTTATTCCATTTATTTCATGGCAGCAGAGGAAACTCACCATCAGCTGGCTGTGCAGCGTGACCTGCCCAGCATTTATGGTGCTGCTGTTGTCAAACATATACTCCCTCATACTTAGTGTGCACTAAAATCTCCACTCCTGTGTCAATTTGAGTTCAGTTATATTAAATGTTGCTCAAATGAGGCTAGCTTCAATCAACTCAGGACTATCCATTTGGTGACTTGAGGTATTTATTTGGTTGTTGGTATTTATTCTATATTCTTTTGGGTTACTCCTAAAGATATGGGAGAAGCCTGGACTAAAACCAGTGGTCACTGCAGAAACTTCACTGGATCCCTGCAGTGACTAACCTTTGACTGGGGATAGTTCTGCTGCAGGGAAGGAACCTCAGCTACCTTTTTGTTCTGAAAGATTTCAGGCTGCAGTCTCCTAAAACACAGGAGAGCTCAGCCTGCTTGAACGACAGACAGAGCGTGTCATATGTCTGAACATCTAATTATAGTGTATTGTATAGTAAAATGAGGAAATTTTTTTTTTATTTTTACTTTGCTGTAATTTCTAACATTCTGAAAAACAACCTCTAGAAATGTAGAAGGTTATATGTTAAAGAAACTCTCCCATCTGACCATTCTGATGGCAATCTGGGAGTCCCACTTGCACCACTCCAAATTTTAATGCTGGGACAGAAGCCCCTTTGCAGCAAGTAAATCCAGTGATATAACAGGTTTGATTCCCTACACACCCCACACTCAGACCGAAGTTCCCTTCATCAGCTCGACCCCAGGTTCCCCATAGCAGAGTCCCAGATGTCCTCTACCTTTTAAGTAATTTAAATGTGATGCAGCAACTTAGAGCGCCTCTGGGGGCTCCGGGAGCCTCTGGGGAAGAATCCCCAGTGAAAAGATCACTGGGTTTTTATACCCTCACAGTCTGTGCATCTGTGCTTCAAGCACCTCTTGATCCAATTTTAGTCTGGGGTCTTCTTGTTGTTCACTGGGTCCTGCAGAGTCTCTGTGTGACTGACCATCCCTGCCTGGCTGGTGCTGCAGGTCCACATGTCCTTTGTCAGGCAAAAGGCCAGTGCTCCTTCATGGCTCCTTGCTTGTGGTTCCAGCCATCCAGGGCACACTGAGCACATCACACACCAAGCAATCTGAACTGGGTGTATTGCTCAACAGTCCTCCTGCTAAGGTACTGAAAGGAAAAAGAAAAAAATTCTCGAGGCATTTAACCACTGCCTTTACATACAGGATTATTGCAAGTAACAAACACAACAAAATTAAGGTTACCAAGATTATCATAGGGCAGAATACAAACTCATAGATTCTTGTGCACAAATACTCAAATGATTACAAATACAAAATCACCAAGGATTCTCAGAATTTTTTTACTTATCAACTGATTGATCACCCACTCTTTGTTTGATGTAAGAACTGTGTATCCAGTTTTCCCTACCTAAAACTTAGACAGCAAAACTTGAAACAGCAAAATAAAGACATAGTAGAAAAGTACATGGCCTTCTCATTTTGGTGCTAACTTAGATTTTCTAGAGACTGCCTTAATTAAAACTTAATCTCCACGCTATATATTATATACCTGTATTTCAGATGGCATGTGCTGAATGTCCTGTGTCAACAGTACAGTTTGAGGGCAAACAAAGGTTGACTTCCTTCATCTACTGGGATGCTGAAAAAGCCAGCTGTTAAATTATTTACAATAAAATAGCCATCTTTAAGTGGTATTTGTGAAAGTATAGTCGAGGGGCCTGGCACCACTGGGTGAGGGGTCACTGCATCTTGGTTAATCACCCACAAATCCTGCACAAATACTCAGGGTCTCCATCTAACCTATTCTGGTTTACCCAGAACTCTGATAATACAGCTTTCAGTATTTCTAGTATCTTCTGCTCATTTTTGAAGCTCTCAGTAATCACACCCAGTGCCATTATTGAATCCATTCCTCTTGGTGACACATGCAATTCTGCATCTAAGGCCTGTAGAAGGTCTCTCCCTAACAAGCATACTGAGGAATCTTCTTCAAATACAAATCTTCCCAGCACACCCTTATGTCCTATCATTGCTAATACAGGTTTACTTAAATTTTTCCCTGCCCAGTGGTTCCATGTATACATACTTTGTCTGTTATTGACTCTCTTGGGGCAAAGTTTAAGAGGGATTATGTGACTCCTGTGTCTACCAGAAATTCAGCAATGACACCCAATCCCCACATACCATGTGTCCCTGTTGATCTGGGTGTTCTCCACAAATTGTATATTTCTAATTGTATGGCTCCCTCAAATTCAGCAGAATTGCTGGTCTGTAGTCATCATGACAATCTATCCTTGCATAATTACTCCCCCACTTAGTTGGAAAGGCCATTCTCTTTGCCGATGTCCTAAATTTCCACAATAGTAACACTCCATTTCCATGTTCCTTTTCTGTCTCTTTCTGCGTTAGGTCCACTAATTGTATTTGGTCTTCCTCTCTTCCATTTTCATCCCTGGAGATTTCCTGTCATGGCAACAGCCATCAGATTTTCCACTTTCACCAGTTTCCCTTTTCTCCTCTACTTGCTTTGCCCTCTGTTTTTTCTTTCTCCCATCACACATGAATACTGCAACAACACATGAATTTTCTGTAGTATTACTCCCTGCCACTCTGGCATATGCTCCTTAAATTACTTTTGGCTGTCTGGTGCTGCCTGAGCAACAAAGACACTAATTGCAAGTGTACCATTGAAGTTTTATGAAGCCATTGCCCCATATTCTAGCAAAACCTGTTGGAGGCAGCCCCAAAAATCTCTAGGACTGTTGTCCCTTCTCTGTCTGCATTCCATTATTTTAGTCCAGTAAACCTTTCATTCCCGTGATCATATTGCTTCAACGAGGTTTAGAACTCCTGTCTGACATGCAGGCCTGTCCTCTGTGGTATTGTCACTCCAATTCGGGTCATTCACTGGCCAGGGGTTCCTGTTTCCTTGTCTGCAGTGCCGGTTCTGCTTTGCTATTATTTACTTTTTCCCTTTCACCTGGCCAGAGCAGTTCTTTCAAGCACACCTGCATGTCCCCCAAGCTTGGCTTATGTCCAGTACATATATTACAACTGAGCACATTTCTTGCTACCTTCCCTCAGCCTTGGCATCTCACTTCTCTATAACGCCAAATCACTCGGACTGCACAGATGTTTGGTAAACACTTGGAGTAGCCCCACGGGAGAAAAGTTAGATGGTGTTGAAGGAGCACTTAAAGGACAGGGCAGTGCCGAGGCAGAAAGAGCGGCGGCATTCCTGCTTTGGAGATGAATCCCGCGGTCAGGCAGGGCGGTGCCGATGCGGGCAGAACGCCAGGGCTCCTGCTCTGAGGCTCAGCCCCTGCCACCGCCAGCGTCACCGTCGGTTCGGCTTCCCTCTGCTGACTTCTCCTCCGTGCACAGCTGTTCCGAGCATAACAATAATCCATGTGATCTGGGAATCCATTTTCCAGACACTGCCGCAGGAAAGTTAATTTGTGTAGATCAAGAAGTGCCTTGTGATGGCCATTGTTCTGCTTTTGAGCCACCACTACAGGTTACAGCCGGCCAATGCTCCTGGCACAATTACCGCCTGCTCTTCGAATAACAGCAGAGTGTTATTAAAGGTTAACGCGCTCTTAACCTTTGAGTGATTTAATCGTGGTGCAGCTGGGGAAGGACCTTCCCAAAAAACATCACTGGAGTTTTATTCCCGCACCTCTCACAGCTCTTGGTCCAGTGATGAGTTTTGGTCTGGGGTCTCCTCGTCCCGCAGAGCCTTGCGGTGACCCGCCACCCCTGGCTGGTGTTGCCTGTCCCCAAAGAGCCCATTCACAGCTCCTTGCCTGGGTCCCCAGCCAGCCACACCAAGATATCTCCAAGGTGTGTTTTACAAACAGTATAAACCAGTACTGTATTTTTAAATATACAGTATATTCAAGAATATGTACTAAATGTAATAATATTCATATATAGATACATATGTAGACACATATAGGCCATATACAAACTGATACAGAGCACATATATTACTTAAACCAAATCCAACAGAGAATTGTCCCTGTTCTGGATTAGCAGAATATTTACAAGGCCACCCTAATACTTTCCAGTGCTACACTGTTTTCCTAGCTAAAAGCCAATTGTCCCGCTTCTCTTTACCTAGCAGATCTGTGATGTCTTTTACTCTAATAAGATGTGAATAGCAGGTGGAAGTAAAAGAAAATTATGTTTTCAGATATGGACATATGAATCTGAAAATAATTTACATTTCAACATAATTCTAAGGAGGATCTAAAAAATAAGTGGTTCTATACAGCAAAGAAATTGATGTATCATGTTATGATTCTGTTTTAGACTTGTGTCTTTTTTTCACAATTGACACTACTTCATAGAATCTCAGGATTGTCTAGGGTGGGAAAGATGGATATGATGTCCAACTGTTAACCCAGCACTGCCAAGTCCAGCACCAAATCATGTCTCTAAGAAACATATTTACTGTTTTTTAAATATTGCCAGGGAGGTATTCTTGTAGACATTTTGTTCATAAAAATGTAAAATGAGTAACAGCAGTGACATTAAGAGTCAAGGGCAGATGCAGTTCCATTACCAGTTTTTGATCAGGGATTCCCTTCTCACCTCCCTGTTTAACAGGATCTACCTCTAGTTGAACTAAACCTATGGCTTTTTCCTAGTGCAGACTTGTCCACGGGAGTCCCTTACCGGGACATCACGGCAGGAGGCAGTACGCCGCAGAGATCGGCCGACAGAAACGCTCACAGCCCCCGAATAAACCAAGCGCTTCCTTTCCCTTCCAGGAGCCGAGCCCAAGACCCCGAGCCCAGGCGCAGACCCCGGGCGGCTCCGGCCCCTCACGGCGCGGCTGAGGCGGCGCCGGGCGGGGCGGTGCTGGCGGAAGCGCGGCGAGCTCCCGCCTCCCGCCGGGGTCGGGGGTCAGCCGCGCCCGCCGGCTGCGGGTGCCCATGGAGGGCTCGGAGGACGAGGAGCTGGGGTCCGAGGGACCGCTGCAGCAGCTGCTGAAGCGGCAGCGCAAGGAGAAACGGGAGCTCCAGGGTGAGCGGCGCCGTGGCCGGCGCAGGGCGGGCGGGGGGAAGGCTGGGGAGCGGCGGCGGGAACACGCGGGGCGGGGAACACGCGGGGCCGGCTGGGCTCGGCGTCTCCTCTCCGCCTTCCCTCGCAGGAAGCCCCGCACGGCTGCGCGAGTAGCTCGGAGGGGCGGGAGGCTGTGGGGAAGGAGGGAGCAGCCCTGGCAGTGGCCTGGCAGGGGGGCGAGGACGGCGGTAGCGAAGCCGTGCGTGCGGGCAGCGGTGCGGTGCGGCGGCCGGGCTGCGCTGCCGGGAGCAGCGGTGCCGGGAGCTGCGCTGCCGGGAGCAGCGGTGCCGGGAGCAGCGCTGGGCGTGCGGGCGGCCTGCGGAGCTCGCCGTGCCCGGGCCTCGGGAGCCGGCGATGCGCGGGAGCTGTGACTTAATGCTGGGCCGTCGGCGTGGTGGTTGCGGTTTGGTACTTTTGGTTTCACGTTGAAGAAGGTGGGAGTTTTCTAAGGCATTTTAGATTGAAAAGCCTGCTCGGGAGCTCTTCCTGCACAGCCTGTTACGTTTGTTCATTCTAAGTGCAGTTGACCTGAACTGAATTTTCATGTCCTGTCCAGCGATAATAAAGTATCTGTAGTAAAAGATCTGAATGGTCTTACAGTGCTTCAGTATGAACTTGTAACACTTCTTTGCATCATTTGACCTACCCTGTTACAATATATTAGTATATAGAGGTCTGATAGATGGATTCTGTTGAGTTTCACAGTTGTTATAACATTTCTGTTAAGCCTTTCTCATTGCTAGTATATCGATACGGCCTTTTCCTTGTTTGGTTTTTTTGGTATGTAATGAAATAGGCCCATTTGCAACCTTTTATCAGAGGGTTAAAGAAGGAAGGAGTCAGGTTGCATATTGTCACTATAGTTGTTATAACATTTTTGTTAAGCCTTTCTCATTGCTAGTGGTTTTTTTGGTATGTAATGAGATAGGCCCATTTGCAACCTTTTATCAGAGGGTTAAAGAAGGAAGGAGTCAGGTTGCATATTGTCACTAAATCTGTAGGAACTACTGTTTTGAGAGGCCTGTTCCTCCCTCGGGTTGGTTGAAATTGAAGAGGCGTAGGAATCGAGCATTGTCATAAGTAGCTGGCGTGCACGGCACCTTCATTGGGAGTGGCTGAGGAGCGGAGGGTTGTTACACCCGGAGAAGGTGATAATGGTAGTTCTCCACTACCAAATGGTGGGGTAAGTAGCTGGCACCTTCATTGTCATAAGTAATGGCACCTTCATTGGGAGTGGCTGAGGAGCTGAGGGTTGTTACACCCGGAGAAGGTGATAATGGTAGTTCTCCACTACCAAATGGTGGGAGGGGTATATACAAGGCAGAGTCCCTTTCTTCCCAGTTGGGAGAGGCAGGTCACATAGCACATGTTTGCCTGCTAGTAAAATACATTCCTGGTATGTGCATTGATGACTGTTTACCGGAGAGCAAAGCTTTTGTGAGAATTAACACTAGGTGCATCTCAACCTCTGAAAATCTAACACCTTCTCCCATTGATGGTATATGTCTCTACACCCCCCTGCCCCCTTTCCACTACCCATACTCTCTCCTGTGTATTTGTGTGCGCCTTTTATGTTCTGGATTCCTTTCTCCTCTATTATGTTAATTTTAATGAACAAAGGTGCTTTTCTGTCATACTCAGCTTATTCATGTATGGGCTGAATGCTTAACATAAATCTTTCTGTATCTGCATTCTTTCTGCCTCCCTTTGAAGAGTTTCATTATCATTGTCATCATCTTCAGCTCAATTGGGTCAGTCAAGGATGAAGGACAGGAAAATGTACAGGTGATGAATAGCAAGCAGGGTGTTAAATAATTGCTGCTGTAACTCTAAAACAGTGAATACAGAAGAGTGGGAGTGTTCATTTAGGAACACATGAGAAGAGAGGACTGTGTGGGAATGTGGTTATAGTTTCTACTGTGTAATGGACGGAGCCAGACTCATCAAAGTAAAGAGAGAATGGACTAGAGACAGGCTGAAGGGCAACAAGACAAATATTAATTGGAAGAATAAGGGAAAATATTTTCATAGCAAGAATCATTAAATATTGGGGGAAAAAGTTTCCCAGAACAGTTGCAGAATGCCCATCCCTGGAGACTGCGCAGTCACGTGAACTAATTTTAGGTGCATCTCAATTAGCATAACCTGATGTGGCTTTGAATTTAGCCCCGTTTTGAGCAGGACGTAGAACCAGGTAACCACTCGACACCATTTCTATCCAAACTGTTTTGTGATTTTAGAAATTAAGCACTGTCTTACAGCCTAGAAATACTTAGGGGTTTTAATCAAGTTAAGATTTTTTTGTTTTTTGAATACCCATTTTGCTTTTAGAAAGTTTGTCTTAAGGATGTGTAAGCTCAGTTTTTAATTTTAGTCTGCTGCTTGTGTGATTAAAAAATTACACATCTTTCCTCTGAGATTTGATATTTTGATGCCCACATAATCTTTCTCAAGGCAACAGGCCAAAGTCTGCTGCATTGATGAAGTTCATATGTATTTCATATGTTTTTCTCTTTTTCAGAGAAAGAAAGAAAAGGCAGTTTGCTTCTTTTAAGAAAAAATAGAGCTATTTGGAAAATATGAGATAACTGGCGGTCTCACAGCTAAACTGTTATACTGATTTGTTGATGTTTGTAATTAGTTTTTCTGTGTGACTTGCAATCATTTTCTGCAATGATCATAGAGTATATATTAAGAAAGAATGTTTTATTACACTGCTTCTCCAACAGCAAAAATTCAAGGCATGAAAAATGCTGTTCCCAAGAATGATAAGAAGAGACGAAAACAGCTGGCAGATGAAGTTGGCAAACTAGAGGCAGAACTTGAGCAGAAGCACAAGGAGGAATTGAAGCAGCTGAAGGAAGCTTCACCTGAACAGAATAAGGTAAGTGCCCTAACTTCAGTTGAAGTTGTACAGGTACAGGTCTTTTTAACTTCCAAAATTATGATGAAATAATACAGTAGTTATTCTGTTCTTCGCAGTATTAGTAACTCTTTTCAACTTAGGAAAGCTTTAGCTGTTACAGTAAATGGGCAGTGCTAGAAGGGGCATGTAAGTGGGGGATTTTTGTTATTGAGCACTTTTGAGAGAGCAGCTTGGTTGTTTAAAGAACCACTGTAAAAGATATTTCAAAAGCAGGTTTAATATAAATTTGCAAAAGCATGACAAAATTCGATGGCAAGATTTACTCTGGTACTGAATCTTCACATGGTTGAGGCATACAAGGAAAATCATTACACAAATGCCAAGCTGTAACAGAAATTAAATGTAGAGTAGGGAGAAAGGTGCACCACCACAAGTAGTATTTTGTGTTGCTTTTAAGGCTACATGGGTAACTCAGTTATATTAAAAATTTATTTTTTAAGGTACTGTTATATTGCTACTCTGGTTATCTTATGTAGACTATTCAAGTATTGATAACCTTCAGCAGGTATTTGACTCATCCTGTGTGTTTTGGCTTCCAATTTTGTCAACAGTGTGACTGATCTTTTTGTATAGCTCATACAGTTACTGAGTTAGGTTTATCATTTTTCTTGAGAAGTTTCAACTCTCTGTCTTTTTCAACCGCTGGTTATGCTTTGATATAGAGGATGGACCCTTCTGCTTTAATTTTCACAGAACTTGCTAATGGCTGTTTGGATACCTCATGGGCTGGCACGGTGAGGGAAGCTTTTCCTTTCAGCCAGTAAAGTAACAAAATGTGAGACAGTAGTTTGGGATGTAAAATGCTTTGATGGTTTTTATGCTATACATGGATCTTTGTAGTTAAAGTTCATAAAAATATCCTGAAAGAGAACTTAAAATTGCATATCTTCATTATCGTTTATACTAAGAACAGAAGTTGCATATCTTCATTATTGTTTATACTAATAAGAACATTTAACCTTTTTTTTTCCTTTTAGACAGATTCCATAGCTGATGGGGTTGCAAGTATAGAGCTTGAAGGAGTGGAACAGCAGATTCAGCATCATCGAATATCAAAAGCACAGAAGAGGCGGGTATGAGTTCATGTTAAACATTTTGCAAATAACTGAATTATTATCGTCAGCTAAACTTAACTGTAATAGCCAAAGGTGAACAGTTTTGCTGGGTACATTACCTGGGTAATTCTGTATTGATGCTGTACCTACTGAGTGCCTTGCAAATCTGTTAAACTGCTGCTTAGAGATAGGTAAGGATTTTACAAATAATTGTACTTTTCTACCCTCAGCTGTGAGCTGGGTATCAGAGTAGGCCAGAAAATGGGAGCCATAAAAAAAAGAAATTATGTAAAGCAAACTATTTTTAAAAGACTTTCACTGAAAATATTATTATAGAAGTAATAGAATTAAAATACTATGTGGAAATTAAGCAACTAGTAGTACTTTGCACATTTAACAAAAGAACATCAATACTGAAGAAATTCTGTAAAATATCAAGTTGTTAAACATTACCTGGTGTTCTGTTCTGCTAGGCTTAGATCTGCTTAAACATCACAAGTTGTGGTGGATTAACATTCTCGTTGTACCTGCCTGAATATTGGGTCATGGCCAGGGGAACACTGCTTTATTGCATATTTCATCCCCTGTTACATGATCACTACAAATATGTTAAAAGGATGTTTATAATTCATGGCACCATGTCTAGGCAAACCAGGAACTCTGGTCTAGTTTTCCCATATTCTTATTGCCTAAACCAGTCTGGTCTTGATTTGTGGTGAATTGTAAGCATAAAAATGGAAAGATCATTCTTTGTACTGCTTTCTTTTTTATTTGCTTATTTACTTTGATTCTTGTTCCCTTGTTAACATCAGTGTGAACTTACGAAACGTTCTAGCAAAGGAATTTTTTTGGTATAATTACATCCCTACTAATATTCTCTACATGCATTCTTATCCATCCTTTAGGTCAGTCTTTTATGATGTAGAGTACCCATCCTGAGGGAGTTTCAGTTTCATGGCATAAGCTCCCTTATGCCGTCATGTACTTAATTGGTAGATCTCACACTTCTTATGAAAGAGAGATATTTTCAGATGTTTAATTAGAATTCCCATACTTGAGTGTTGAAATAGTAGATCCTGAAGAAAGCACTATGGTTAATAGACTTTATATGAGTGTTGTAAAGTGGTATTTTGCATGTTGATATAATTAAGATTTCTCTTGTCAGATAATTTTGGGTGTGGTTAACTGTGGGGGCAGTTAGGATATACTGGTCACTTAGAATTTGCTAAAGTTTGCATTTAGGTAGTACTGGTTCAGACAAATATTTTATAGATAATAATGTACTGAGAAAATACTGGAAGAGTTAGAAGCAAGTACTAAGCCAAGAACTGTACCAGCATATTCTAAATTTTAACATTTGATTTAACTTTTGTGTGTTTTTAATCTAAGGATAAAAAAGCTGCTTTGGAGAAAGAAAGAGAAGAAAGAATAGCTGAAGCTGAGATACAAAATTTAACAGGTGCTAGACATCTTGAAAGTCAGAAACTTGCCTGCCTATTGGCAGCAAGGCACTTGGAGATTAAACAAATCCCTTCAGATGGCCATTGCATGTACAGAGCCATTGAAGATCAGCTCAAGGATCACCAAAATTCCTGGACTGTTGCAACTCTGAGGAACCAAACAGCAAAGTATATGCAAAGTCACTGTGATGACTTCTTGCCTTTTCTTACAAACCCTAATACTGGAGATATGTACAGCAGAGGTAAGACTTGTAGCATATGAGACTTAAAAAACTATTATAACTGTTTCTGATAAATCTCAGTCTCAGCTTAATTGGGACTTTTATGGTGTTTGTAACTTTGTTACTTTATTGTGTTCTGTGGAACACAGAATGATGATCTGCTATGAAACTTGGTACATCTGAATCTCAAATTAAATATATATTTTTAAATTAATCTAGGAAATTTTATTTGCCATTGGAAAAAAAAAAACAGAACTTGCTGGTTACTAGATGATGTGAACTCATTCTGGGATGTGATTTGTTATTATAAACAGCTTGTCTGGCAGGTTGGGATGATTTTCTTGTCAAGTTTTATATTGGTGTTTTCAATACAGAAAATCTGTTAAAAATGGGTGTGAAATCAAATCTAGTTTATAATAGTTTGAATAGATGCATTTTCTTATTCTAGCTTGTTTTTTTACTGCAAAGTGTTTTGGAACTGTTTTAAAAAGTATTCTAAACTAAAAAATAAAAAGTGCTTTAGTGTGAAGCAACAGTGTAGGCTGTCTAACAACGGAATTTATGTACCTCTTATTTGAGCAATACATGATTTATTCATTATGCCTGGAACACCACAAAAATGACTGCATAAATGTCATTAACTTAATGCTATGTTTGTTTAATAGGCATTGCTGTGGATTTCATGTGGTCACTGAGTGCTGTCTTTCCCATGTTGACAGAGATTTTTGTCACAGGTTAAATGTGTCCCAGGAGAATACTGAAAAAAATTCTACACAGCAACAAGGAATTGTGCTTTTCTGTTTTAAAGGAAATGAATGAAAAGTCACTCTGAGCAATCTTCAGAAAATCTGAAGATTCTTCTTTCTTAAAATGTGTTTGTAAGGTTCAAAAGCTTGAGGATTTGTAATTTACAGACTTTAAATTTGGTTTCTGCAGAACATGATCTGAAAAGATTAGCTATTTACAGAGGAACTATTGAGAATGGACACTTTATAGTTTAAAAATAAGGCAACTAATCTGGAAATTTAAAAAAATCCGAGCTAACTGTTTACCTACATGCAGTTGCAAGATTTTTAAAACATATCTGACACTTGGCTAATGTAAGAACTAGATATACTACTCACTGTCACATTCTTTTCTAAAGTTTCTAGACAGCTTCTGAAGCTTAACATGAAGGAAACTATATGCAATTTCATGTGTGTTGTTACCTGTTGTTCTCTGAATAAAAAAACTAAAGTATTAGCTGAACTTTTTTATACTCTTTTTTATCTCTCTCTTCAGCCTGAATTTTTCTTTTGGAAACTGAATGAGTTTGGGGGTTTTTTTTGACAACTGTTTTTCTCTGCTTTTCTTCAGTGAACATACATATTTTCCTTTACAATGCATTTGTACTTTTCTGGCTCTAGTTTGCATAATCCGTGTTTTTCCTCAGTTGCTTGTTCTCAACCAAGACAAGTACTAAAAGTTGTCTTTTCGTTCCCTGCAGAGGAATTTGAGAAATACTGTGATGATATAGCAAATACAGCTGCATGGGGAGGTCAGCTGGAAGTAAGTATTGTATTGATAATTTTTATTTGTGAAATTCTGAAGTGGGTGAATATATCTTAAAAAAGGGCTTCTTTAGAAGGAGGAATACCTGAAGGCATAAGGGAACATAGTCATAAATAGCTTATTAAGAACTTTTTCTTGTGGTTAAAGGTGGTTTTCCCACCAGTTTTTCTGATGGTGCACCACTGTTCTGATGTATTTGGCAATGTGCAATTTAGTGAATGCATTTGATATAAATATCATTAGAAAGACTGACACTATGAGTGGGAAAGTATTGTTAGGTTGTTGTCATGTAAACGAGAACTTGAGCTTCAAAAAATACATATTTGTTTTAATTTGTCTTATTTTTTATGAAAGAACAGTTAGCAAATTAATGAAACTAGCCTAATGTTGTATCCTATAAACAATTATTAGTTTAAGGAAATCTGTTTTCCATTAGTTTTAAAAGTTTAAATAATTTTGCTTATTTTAATAAAGCTTATTTTCTGAAAATATTTCCAATACTATGCTTGAACCATCTGCTAAAATTAAATGCCTAGTCTTCCTGTCTCCTACCTACATTGTCTTTAATCCTATTACTAAATGGTTTTTGTCTTAAAGCTAAGGGCTTTGTCACACATTTTACAAACACCTATTGAAGTAGTGCAGATGGATTCTCCTCCCATTGTTGTTGGTGAAGAATATTCAGGCAAACCAATAACACTTGTGTAAGTATGTAATTTTATCAGTTAAATGTAGTGCACTTATTTCTGTAACAGAGGCCTCAGCTTTGATTCTCATCTGCTCTTTTATTTTCTGTTACGCATCTGATGTTGAAACACTGCTTGAGTAATGGTTGTGCAGGTCAGAAATTGTTTGTGATTGACACACTTACTTTGGAGAAATTGTCATTAGACAGTGTCTGATGTATATCAGTCTCTGATTTAGAGAATGCTGCAAGGTCATTTTACCTGGTAAATAATTACAAAATAATAATGACATTGATAGAAGATGGAGAAATATTTTTTTCTTCTTCAGGGTTTTGTCAAACTGGAAGTCACCAGAATTTAAATTTGTCTTTATTAATACTCTTCTGTGTAATGGTCCTATATATTTTTGTTGCTAAAACTTGGCTTTATTTCAATCATCTTCAGTGCTGTTACTGTTTGGCATGATGTATAGTTTTTGTTAAACTGAACACTATTTCTGTAACTATTTTTTTAGGTATATGAGGCATGCCTATGGATTAGGAGAACATTACAATTCTGTGAAAGTTCTAACAGACACTGCTACAGAGAACAGCAGCTAGCTACAAAAGTTGTACATTCACATGGATAACAGTTACATCGTGATGTGTTGGGCTCCAGGAAATTCCCAGTAAGACTGGAAAGTAAATGGCATGGATTATAAATTAAAAAAAAATAAAAGGCCTGCAAGGTTTGAGTATAAATCACACATGGCTGTTGATTTATAACAAAACCAAACCAAAACCAAACAACAATACTTTGAACTTACTGGTATTAATTATGTTTGGAAGATCTTCTGTGAAGTGGTGGCTGTGTAGATCAGGTTTTTTTCAATAGAGCTTCCTCCAAATGCTGCAAAGAAAATATCAAGTACTAAAAATTTGTTTTGGTTAATCTGCATTTCTGCTGGAGATTTAAGGTTACCTGAAGGTCCCTGTTCCATTATTTCTGTCAGATTTTCACGATAATGGAAGAGTTCAGGCATTTGAAATAACTGATTGTATTTTGCTTATGGAATATTATCTACAGTGTTTCTGTAGTCCTATCAGGATCTAATCTTAACAGTGTAGTATTGATTCCCTTCTTTATTTTGGCAGAGGGCTTTTTTTGGAGTTGACAGTAGGAATTCAACTCTTGTGCATTGTTATTTATGACTGTACATTATACTGTCAGTGCAAGCTAACTGCACTGTTCATTCTCCATAGTCTTTCAGCTGTGCATTTCGGTGAATCCAAAGTCTTAGAGCTCCTCAGTGTCCTCGCTTGAGGTAGTGAAACTCATCTGAACTTATTTCTGGATCTGCTGGTCTGAGCACTTTGTCATCTAAAGTGTGATGTTTTATAGTGCTTAAAACAGCTGGTTGCACACAGCTGTAGAAATAATCACCTTGGGGTTTATCAGTAACTAAAGGTGATCTGGGAAAGAATTAACTTTATTTTAATTGCTTCTTATGATGCACAGACTTGAAAGGTTTTGATATGGCTTGACTTTTTACATTAGAAATGTAGATTGTTGTCTGTAAATGTGACTTCAAAATTAGGAACATACTGAAACCAAAATTTTAATGCAAATGTTTTTTAACAAAAGAAGTTATTTTAATTTTTTTTAAGCCTTCGTCAATAAAAGAATTATCTGTATTTTACTGCTGCTGAGTTGGTTTGGAGAAAAGTGGTTCATGAAAAGATTAAACACCTTTGCCCTGATTTGAGGATTATGACCGAACAGTATGTGTCTTGTAGTCCTTCAGTAAAGCTAGCTTGCAGACTTACATTCCTGGAACTTAGAAAAATCTGTTCTTACTTTAGAGGGAGGTAAGTGATCACTTTATGGGCCAGATTATGTCTGATTTAAAGCACTTTGAGAGAGAAGGGGTAAAACAATACCAGATAATTACAGCAGGAGTCTTTGGACAAGCAGGTCTTTAGGCTGGTGCCTGCCAGGAAAACAAAGTATTAACCAGATCAGGAGATTCTACTGTTATAGTATAACAGGTATAGCTGGTTTATATACCAAACCAGCTGGCTTACTGTAAAATTTGGTTTACTATCTTGATGGTATAAAATGATGGTTTTAATTTCAAACAAAAAATAGGATGCAACAGCATGGAAAAATACTTCTATTCATAATGTCATTACAAATTTCACTAAAAATAATAAGTACTCTTCTCTGCATTGCTTAGAATTGATGTGATATAAAATGTACATGCTACATTTTATAGATAAACAGTTACTTGGTTTATTTGGGAGTTTTGTTTGATCAACTAAGAGAGAAAGATGCCAGAATCGGGGAACACCTGTTCCAAGAGTTTGTCATGTTGAAGATGTTTACAGTTTGTATAAAGTTAAATAATTTAATGTAGTGAGTGAAAGATCCTTGCTCATGCTGTATGGGACTTGCCAAAAAGTAATAAATTGGTTTATTTGTGGCAAATATTGCTTGGGTCAGTTTTATTTTGTATTCAAATATGAGTTCACTTATTTCCTAGTATGAATAAACTTACCCATTTACATTTTAGGATCCTACTGTAATATGAATTCTAAAACAATTGACTGTATTCAGGCAGACAAAGCTTCATTCCATATGAAAAAAAGTTGTTTCTGAACAAAATTTATCATTTGTGTTTTAACAGTTAAACTTGAGCTCTTGTGAAAAACTGTTTGAAAATACTGTTGAACTTCCCCATGCATTAAAAGGATGAAGTGAAACTGAGAAGGGGGTCTTCTCACAATTAATCTTTTAACTTCTTTGTCAGATTACATTTTTCTCTGCAGAATAACACTGTTTACTTTGAGTGTGTTTCTGTAGCTTTCCTTGCTTTTATGTGTAATACAGTTTCTTGAGGCACTATTTCTTTTAAGGACTGTTGGGTATTTCTTGCAAGATTGAGATTAGTTGCCAGCAGGAATGCCCACATGAACAGGAGGGAAGCTGTCTAGTGGTCTGCAATAAATTGTGTGCAATATTCTGAAAGGGAAGAACGTATTTGCTGTTGAAAACAGTGGTTACATGTGGCTCTTGGTGCTTGTCCTTGTCCCCTTCACTTACTCTGCACCAATCTTTGCTCTCCTGTGCAGTTGTGTGGGCTGTAGGCAGCCCCAGAAAGGGGGTGGGAGATGGGTGGCAGCCAGAGGGAGTGCAGACCTGTCATAATTTATTTAAACAGTAAATTAGTTCATCTAATAATTTATTATTTAGATAGTAAATTAGTTAAAGGATTTTTTAAAAAAGAAAGAAATTATATAAAATGCAATGAGGCAGTGATGTCCCTTGTGCACTTTTGTACAGTTCCTATGACTTCTGTGTTTACGTATATTAAAATATGTCACCAAAGCTAAAATGTAGCTTTTTTATGTTGATGGTGGCAGAGCAGTGTGACAGGCTCCTGGAGAGGTCATGGAGTCTTCCTCTCTGGGGACATTCAAAACCCACCTGGTTCCTGTGTAAGCTTCTCTGGGTGACCCTGCCTTGGCAGAGTGGTTGGACTGGATGATCTCCAGAAGTCTCTTCCAACTCTAGTGGTTCTGTGATTGTGTAAGACACAGTGAAGAGGCAATTTGTTTCACAACCACTTGCTTTGAGGCAAAATTGTCAGTAGGAACACTTTTTGCCTCCTCTCCATGCTCTTGTTATTTTTAACAGGCAATTGAACAGGGGCCGTGATAGGGTCCAGGAAAAAAAAAAAAAAAAAAAAAAAAAAAAGAAAGAAATAATCTATTGTAGGCCATTATTTTTAAAATATTGTCAAACTATCCTCAGTCTAATTTTTATTATTAATTTGTAAATAAATGTTCACTCTCTCAGCTGTAATCTTTCATGGAGTGCTGTTTTCTTAAACAAAATCATGAGACATCAAGACAAAAATGTAATGGGAGCAGTGCTGTAATTTTGGGTGTATGCAGACCACATCCCCTCTGCTGCTGTGACTCAAGGAGTAAGATGTGCTGGCAGCACTGTGACTGGGTACATCTGCTGCTTTGTGGGATGGTGGCTGCCCCTTGGCTGAGTTGTGCTTGAGTGTAATGTGAATTACAAGAGTGAGAATTCCTGGAGCTAAATGCACGGGTGGAGTCAATGGGGTCGGGAGGGGCACTCCCTCTGGCACTTTGGGCTGTGCGTTTTGCCCAGTTCCTCCCCCAGCAGCACTGATGGCCTTGCAGCTTGTGGATTCAGTGATGGGGGAGTGAGGACAGGCAGTGTCCCTTTTGTGGGCAGTGTGGGTGGTGGCAGTGCACACAGGGGTGTTTGGGGCAGTCCTGCTCTGACCCTGCAGACGTGTGCTGCATTAGGGGCCTCTGCAGGGGTGCAGCTGCATTCCTGCCAAAGGAGCCAGTGATGAATGTCCTGGAGATGGCCTGAAAGCTTTGGTGGGAGTTGACCTCAGAAGGTCCCATCTGCATCATCTGGGTTCTTTAGGCTGTCATCTGCCATAGGCCATGGAATTGTACAACATGGAAAAAGTACAACTTTCTGTTTTTAGCCCTTGAAACGCAGCCTGCCTCCCTCTGTCTGCCAGCAGATCTCCTGGGGTGTATTTATGAATGATGTATTTATTTATGCCTGTGTTTATTACTTAATCTATAAGAAGTTAAGCAGACTTAAAAATAGGATCTGAAACACAGAAGGCATTTTGTGTGCTTTCCTTGGCTCCAGTGAGAATGCTAACCCACCAAGTCCTTTGTTTTGAGCAACTAATAAAAGCAACAGATGGTTGCTTTTATTGATTGATCACTAGAGGCATATGATAGATGTACTTTTGAATACAACTAAAATCCTTAGAAATTGCCTCTATGTTAGAAACAGTTATATCATAAAAAGAATTATTCATGCACAAAAATATTTGGTAAAATTCAGAATAAACTGATGTAGTCTCTGTGTTGAAGATTAAATAAATACATCAAGGTATTAATTGAAAAGCTTTATACTATTTACATGTTAGAAAAATTGGAGTGCATAAATTTATATAGTAAGCAGATTAAAAAATATTCCCAGGAGCTCTATTTTCTGCAAAGGCTCCCTGAACTTCATCAGTTCTGCAAATATTTTATCATGATATATGAAGGTGTTACATACGTTAAGAATCGGACGTGCTGTGTTTGTCCAGAAATGAAAACCTTCCACATGTAACGCTGTTTTATTTTTTATTGCTCTTTTTTTTCCTTTTCTTTTGAAGGATAGTATTGTGAAAGTATTTGAGCAAATCTCTTGTTTGAAATCATTATGTAAATCATGAAGATGCACATTGGCAACTGCATTCTGGAAGGTATATTAATATTCTTTTGAGAAAGCTAAGGATGTGGAGATTTTAAACTAATAGTTCTTCCACACACATATATATACACACACATATATCCTCTAAAATCAATATATGAATAAAACATCAATAGTATAAATATGTTTGTCATTAAATCCTAATAAGGCTCCATTGAGTGGGGAGTGAGGGGCGTCTAATGAGGAACCATTTTTCTTTTAGCTGTTTGCAGAATGCTGGAGCACAAAACAAAAAGAAACAGAACAGGGAAACTAGTTGTGAACTGGGGATGCCTGCATGAAATGCACAAAATTATTCAGTGTTGAGGAATATTCTGGGTGCTGGAGGCTGGGTGTGCTGCACGTTGTGCCCTGGCTGGGGGGCAGTGGCTGGAGCCCCAGGCAAGCAGCTGTGAGTGTCCTTTTACACTTCAGTGCTTTTCAACAGTTACACCATATTTATCAGCAGCCTCCAACATTCAGAGTTTGGTGAGCTCCTTGTGAGAGTGTTCTGTAGGTTCACTGGAAGCTACATTGCATCTTCTTCACTGGTTGCTGGAACTGCAGATTGCATCAATGGATTTTGAAAACTTGATTTTGATCTCTGGTATATTTATCAGTATTAGACATACTGTGCTTAATGTTGCTGGTTCCATTGTAGTGCTTGCTGTCTGCTTGATCTGCTGCTTGCAGTGTGTTATCCATCTGCTTCTGAACATTTTATCACAACTTTTGTAAAGAACTGAAGAATTAGAGCCAACTTGGAGATTTTTGAGAAAAAGTACAGGGGGCAAGGAGCTGGAGAATGTAATGCAAGAATGCTTTTAATGCAAGTTGAAAAACTACTGTTCAGTTAAAAAACAATGAAGATACTATTAAGGAAAATTATTCTCCTGTTCTTCCAAACCTTTACACTTCAGATTCTACATTTCAGTTGTGACAATCAAATGAAAATTTTATTTTTTTAAATAGAGAAGAAGGTGGATGTCACACCTCTTATAGAATCTGCAAAACTTGAGTACATGCTGTCACTCCTAGAAGAACCTTAGCTTTCCTTGTCTTAGCAAGTGATATTCCCCCTCTTGTGGAAGGGCACAAAAACTATCATAAGAGTCTTTTTCTAGTTGGACCATTTGGGAATTCTGTTATTTTTCATGAAACATTTTTGATGCTGTCATAATTATCCACATAATCGCTATGTCCTACTTGTGCCTGGCTGAGAGCCTTCTGTCTGCTACTGTTGCCACAGACATCACTGGAAATAAAAAGAGATGTGAAATAGCTTGTGTGGATACAGACTCCTCAGAAAGGACAGGCTGGGAAGGTGAGGAGGAGAGGGGTAGCTTAGTGCTCCTCTGAGGGACCAGTGATGGGGTCTGTTCATAGCTCATGGGTCAGGATCACAGAGGGGTGGCCTAAGTGGGCTTGTAGTGGGTCCCTGTTGCACACCAACAAAGATATTCAATATTTTTATTAAGTTTGCTAGTAGTGTGGGCATTTTGCACAGTTTGAGCTCCCTGCCCAACTCCAATGCCTTAATTTAAAAATAAGGCAAAGCAGACTAAATTTGAAAATTTTGGCTTTGTAAGTACATTTGATAATGAAATGTCAGTAAATCCTGTGTCTGAAATTCTGTATCTTTTCTCTGCAAGACTTCTTTATGCATTTGAAGAAGAGCACACAAGACAGGTTATTTCTACAACATAAGAAAGCAAGTAGCAGTAGAGGATTTCTGCTAGTCTCACTTCATGCAATATATGGTACACATCACAATGATGGATGTACCATTGAAGTTTGTCTGATGCACAAACTTATTACTTTCACAGAGTGGACTTTCCAAATCTCATTAAATATGTTACATGAGTATTGAGATAGTCTTTATAAATTTCAAATGTGACTGCAACAGTTTGCAGTCAGAAAACATAAAAATACAATTTTCCTTCACCCCATCCCTGTGTTCAAGACCAGGCTGAATGGAGCTCTGAGCAACCTGGTCTGGTGCAAGGCGTCCCTGCCTATGGCAGGGGGGTTGGAACAAAGTAAACTTTAAGGTTCCTTCCATCCCAAACCATTCTATGATTCCATGATAATTTCAAGAACTGAAATCAAATACGCATTTTAATAAGGGGTGAAAAAAATCCAATCCTGTACTGCTCACTGTAAAAATAGATGAGAACTACTGA